TTAAATGTTCTTGAATGTTTTTGCTTTGCTCCATCCTTCCAGGCACTGCCTTGGTTTAGGCCTTCAACATCTCTTGCCTGGACCATTGCTGCTATCTATTCAGCCTTGGCCCTTCTCATTGTTCTCGACACCATGGCCAGAATAATTTTCCTATAATGTATTTAGTAACATGCTATTTTTGTAGTTGAAAATCCTTCAGTGATACCCCCATGGTCTCCAGGATCAAGTCTAAATTCCTGACCAGTGTAAAAAGATATTTATGTCAGAGACTCTGTCTTTCTCTGCCTCATCTCTTGCCAAGCCCCAATTTATACCACATCTCTCTGCCAAACAAATACCCTTGCATGCTTTGTGAGTCACTTGAAATGTCCCCTCCTCTGAGACATTTTCCTAAGCAAGCAGGGTCTGGAACTTGTACACACCAGCATCATGGTACAGATTATACTGTTGCCATGTGGATTTTGGGTTGGTCTCCCCGCTAGTCAGCAAGTCTTCCAGGAATCATTCTCTCCTCAGAGCTTAGTGCTGCCCAGCCCTGACTTGGTTGAATGAGGCAGGTTGTAAAGAAGATACATATAATTCCATGTATCCATGTTTTTCTGGTAAGAAATACTAGAAAATCATGGGTTGGTCAACATGCTTCTAGTGTGTATAGAAAAAGTACTCTGGAGATTAAGTATGGACTAAGTTAAATCCCCTTTTCCAGCAAAAAAAAAAAAAATCACTTTTTTTTTTTTTTTGCTGTAATAATCAGTTAAAAAAGAATAAAAAACAATGGGAATGTCTACTTTTGTGTGAATATAGACTCTTAAACTGGCTTTTCTCAAATCAGTTGGCTCTCCAGGGAAGGATCATTCTCTGCTGGCATGCACACAGGACAGCCAGAGAGAAGTGGAAAGGGTCAAGAGGGAAGAGAGGTCAAGGTAAACATAGCTGATACCATCAACGGCTGTTTATTCAATTTATTTAAAGCAGGCTTCTGGCTCAGAGTCCTTTGGGCACCTGTACAAAATTCAAATTCAGCATCTAAAATTTATTCTCCTTTTTAGGCAAAAACATACAAACGATCCCCTCCTAAACTCAGTTAGGAGGAGACTTTGAGAATCTTTTCCACTCTCTAGAGGTTTTGCTGAGAAGACCTTGTTTCTACTACTTCCCTCCTGTGGCTTGTGAGTCAAAGGACCACAGTTTCACCATTTCTCAGCTGGATGGTCCTAAGCAAACTTCCTTTCTTCATTGTGCCTCTTCATCTGCTCACTGATCCTTCTCTGGGCATAAAAGAGCTTCTGCTGGTGGTATGAATGTCAAACCCAGCTTTAGTTCCCTGAGGAATCCAAGTGGCAATAATGACATGTTTCATTTGGATAACACTTGTAATATTTCATGGGCTCCTTGTAAAAGCCATGAAAGAAGGTATTGTATTGACCATTTTACAGATAAGAAAACTTGAGGTCCAAAATCACGAATTAGTTAATAGAATCGTGTCTTCAAGGCCAAAATTTTTACTTTAAATCATCTGCTTTAAAATAAAATTCATTGCTCATTAAAAAACTAGTTGTACAAAATTTCTGCCTTGAGAAAGATTCAAATACTATAAATAATGCAAAAAGCTCCTTAACTTCCCACCAAATTTTGGCCATTATCTGGCATTACAACCATCTATGATCACATACATATATGTATATCTATATAAATAGATAAATTTTTTCACATTTTAATAAAAAATACATGAATGTTACTATACTGTTGATATTATTCTAAAACATTTTTTTAAAAAACCTTTGTCTTAGAGATAGTTCTATGACAGTACACATAGGTCTGCCTCATTCATTTAATCTACTATAGATTATTTCAGAGTACGGCTGTACCACAATTTATCTAACCCTATTTTACGAATGGGCATTTGTTTTCAGTTTTTGGCTGTTGTATCCTTTTTATGCTTCTTTGTGCATGTGTTTAAACATTTCTCTTGGGAGATATACAACTGTGGCATTCATTGTTAGGTGTTAGGGGATTCCCATTGAAAAGATTAATGAATATTGTTAAAAGATACTCTGTAAGGGCTGTACCACTTTACATCTCCACCACCTTGCAAACATTGGATGTTATCAATCTTTTTACATTTTACTAGTTTGATTTGTAAAATGATATCTCATCTTATATCCCTCCTTCATGATTACTATGAGACTAAGCATATTTTGTGTCATGAATTCCTTACTAATGTCCTCAATTTACCTTTCCATTGATTTGTTGGTCTTCTTACTAACTTGGGGGAGGTTTTTATATTCTATTAACTATTCTATTTTATTTTATATTCTGTTACGTATGCTACATATATTTTCTCCCACATTGTTACTTTTTTGGAAACTGTTTACTGTGTCTTTTTTCATATAAAATTAAGAATTTTTGAGTAAGTAAAATAAATTAATCTTTTTATTCATGGTTTTCGCACTGTGTTTAAGAAGATCTTCTATAATTCAAGTTATTTATATACCCTCATATCTATCTCTAATATTTCAGATTTATTCATTTAGCTCTTTAATTCTGGAATTTATTTTTGTGAATGGTATATTATAGGAAAGGGTGTGACGCTAGATAAAGCGGAATAGGCTATGACCAAGCAATGGTCGACAAGCTACCATCCATGGGTCAGACCTGGCTGCTACCTGTTTTATTAGAACACAGCTATGCCCATTCATGAATTGTCTGTGGATGCACCTGTGCTACAGAAGCAGAATTGAGGAACTGTGACAGAGATTGGATGGCTCACAAAGCTGAAAATATTTACTCTCTAGCTTTTTAGTAAAAGAGTTGACTGATCCCCGATATAGAGACTTGAATGCAAGTTTAAGAGTTTGACTCATGTCCTAGGCAATGAACTAGGAAGCACTGTGATCAGCACTGTTTATAAGGAAGATGACTATCAGCAGGCTGGAGGTTTGCAGGTGAGAGAGAGAAAGAGAGAGAGAGGAAGAGAGAGGTCTTAGGTGGCCTGTGAAACAATCTAAGTAACAAATAATTGGGTTCCAAATCTAGAAGTGAGAAAAGAGGAGGAGGAAATATGACAAATTCATTCATTTATTAAGGCATCTATGGTATTGTAATTTATAATAAAATATATATTTGTCTTCATCTCTAGTCTCTGACCCACGGCTCCTAAAATGCTTGTAAATTTCTAAGTGACAAGAACTCTAGGAGCATCTTTTGTTCTAATGAGGTAACTTTGAGTGGGCCCCTGGATGGTTCCTGAATGGGGGCTAGTGCCCAGAAAGACCAAGCCATAAGAGAGACCAAACTTGAAATTTTCAGTCACACCCCACTTCTTCAAAGAGGAAAATGGGCTGGAAATAGAGTTAATAATTGATCATACTTACATGAGGCACCCTCTATAAAAATCCTGGTAGTATGGGGTTCAGAGAGCTTTTAAGTTGGTGAACACATTTATGTACTACAAGGGCGACACACTCCAACTCCACAGGGACAGAAGCTCCTGTGCCTGGGGCCTACCCAGACCTCAACCCATGTGTCTCTTCTTCATAAGTTTATGTGTATCATTTATCATATCATTTAATAAACTGATAAGCATGAATTCTGTGAGCTGTTCTGGCATATAATCAGATCTTAAGGGGAGGAGGTCATGGGCACCTCCAATTTGTAGCCAAGTTGGACGGAAGTTGTGGGTAACCTGGGAGACTACTACATGCAATTGGCATCTGAAACGTGTGGGAGGGTGGCAGTCTCACAGGACTGAGTCTTAACCTGTCGCTAGGTAGATAGTATCAGAATTGAGTTAAACTGTAGCATACCCAGTTGGTGTCATAGAATTGATTAGGGTATAGAAAAAAACTCCACACATTTGGTGATAAGAAGCACCAGAATAAAGTGCTCTTTGTGAAAGTAAAGTAGGAAAACTGGGTTTTCCTAAAATAGTGTTTTTTTGTTGAGAGCTCTCTGTGAGCTGGACTCAGTTCTGGGAGCTGAAAGATATGATAAAGATAGAAATGTCAGAGCTTGACATCTCTTTGGAGATGGGGCATGAACTTTGTATTAGTTTGTCAGGAGTGCCATAACAAAATATCACAGACTTAGTGGCTTAAACAACAGAAATTTATTATCTTACAGTCTGGAGGCCAGAAGTCTGAGAGTAAGGTGATGGCAAAGCCATGATCCTTCTGAAGAAAAGGATCCGCTCCAAATTCCTCTCATTGCTCCTGGTAGTTAACTGGCTTGTAGCAGTATGACTCTAGTCTTCGGATGGTGTACTCTCTGAGGGGCGTCTCTGTCTAAATTTCCCCTTTTAATAAGGATGCCAGCCATATTAGGGACCCACCCTAGTACAGAATGACCTCATTTTAACTAGTTACATGTGCAATGACCCTGTTTTGAAGTAAGGTCACATTGTGAGCTATTGAGGGTTAAGATTTTAACATGTGAATTTTGGGGAGATGCAATTTAACCTGTGACAACTACCAGAGCCTGATACAAAGTACTGTTCAGAAAGATCATTCTTTTCCTACATTCTGCCTCTGCTCATAGAATGGAGGGAATTTCCTCCCAAGCTTCCTTTGTCCACTTCTGGCACCTCTTGCTCAGCTCCTCATTCAGACCTTCCCTAAGAGGAAGAATTGTTCATTTGTTAAGTCAGTGCCTGCTCTTTTTGTTCATGTCTACTGGTGGATGAGGCCCACATTCATGGGCACAGCTCTAAAAAAACCTGCTCTCTGTTCCCATGAGGAGCCACCCTTAGGGCCAGCACACTGCAGACCCTCTTGCTCCAGCTCCCAGGAATGGTCATTCCAGGGCTGTCCAACAGGGCCAGCTACATTTCATGTTTCTCGTAGTGTCACCTGTGTGGGCGGCCTGGGGTCTGCTTCAGACCTGACCCAGTTAGAATGGAACATGCAGATTATCCAAGTTTACAAAAACATAGGTGATCAGTGCTTACAAATACCAGTAGCACCATCAATGAAAGGCCATCAAGAAGAAAAGACTTTTTTTTAAAAACAAAGTTTACTTTATTATATTAATTTTATACAGTAAAAGAATATAATGTGCAGACTTATCTAAATTCTCTTGCTGATTCTCTTGAAGACAATGTCACCCAATGTCATGGTCTGAAAGTCAGAAAAGAAATCATGCAATGCTCATCTGATGTTGAATTGTAAGAGATAATTAAGCCGTCAAAATAACCCTAAAGATGCTAACATATGAAGCAACCCAAAGATTTCTCTGTTTTCAATTGCAGGGGTCCCCAATCCCCAGGCCATGGATTGGTGTAGGTCCCTGGCCAGTAAGAAACAGGGCCGCATAGCAGGAGGTGAACGGCAGGCAAAGCTTCATTGGTATTTGTAGCCACTCCCTGGTGCTAGCATCACCACCTCAGCTCCACCTGAGATCATCAGGCACTGAATTCTCATAGGCACACTGGTCTCTGGTGCCAAAAAGATTGGGGACTGATGTTCTCTAGGACAGGAGGAAGCATCGGCAATCTTTCTAAAATCCCATGCCAAGTATCTGTCACTTTTCTTGCTCATGTGGAGAGTTGTCCTGCCTATTACTGAATTCCTTTTTACATCAATGGTTCTTAAAATAAGACCATCCAAACCATTCTAGTCCAATCCAACTTCTCAAAGTTCCTTTGAGTACCTACTATGTACCAAACATGTATTGAATACATATGCATGGAAACACCTAGGCATCCAGGCACCTAGCCTGGAACACAGTAGGTAGAACATAATTTTCCTCCCAAAGCTGTGAAGCATATAAAAATATTGAATATATTGGGTTCATTAGTTTTTGAGTTTTTGAGGTATGTTTCTTTCTCCTCATACCCCTCCCTCTCACTAGTTCTCTCAAACAAGATTGTGCTAATGACGAGTGGTAACGTCATCAGAGTTAAAAAGGAATCCCTTAGCTTCGGCAGCAATGGAATGTAATGGAAGGATCTAATTTTAAATACTGGTTCTATAACCCATTAGCTGAATGACATTAGAAAGGTCAACATGTCTATTAAATCCCTCATCCTGCCTCCCTCACAGGAGATGGGAGGATTAGAGGAGATGGAGAATATTAAAGAACATCAGCCAAGGCTAAGTCCAGACAAATCGTCTCCTGCTCCCCAGCTGGGGCTTCCCTACTGTGCTGTGAATATGCTGGAGTTGGGGCGGGGACTGCATATTCCATGGTTGACTCTCACACTCTCCCTAGGCTGAGGGATTTTTCCACTTGAATTGTGTGATGATAGACCCCTTAAGCAGCATTCTGCCTTCTGTTACTCCTTAAAGCATAGCTTTAGGTCAAGGTAGAACCAGAGGGACATAACTGATGGACAAACACTGCACTAAATCAGGGACAAGGCATGGCCAACAGCCAGGCACAAAGGATGATATGACACACACAACTGGAGTGTGCTAGATTCATAAACTGCCATAAGATTGCCATGAACATAATTCTCCTTATAAATGCCAAAAGGGCAAAAGCATTTGAGTGCCCTTGGCTTGCAAGGCACGTGGAGGTCTCTGTGGCTTCAGGATTTGTGCTGAGGCAGAAGGAAAGGGTTATGGGTAATAATTACTGCAACATAATAAAACAAAAAAAGCAATGGAAGAGCCTGACTTTTAGCCAGACAAAGCTTTCTTTGTATGTGGGTTCTGCATCAGTGGGAAGGGTTGTTCCATGAATCAGAGGCTCACAGGAGAGAATGAATGGATTTCTGCCCTTTAGCTTGTGGATGTGTCTTGTGGCTATATCTCAATGAGACTGAGAAAGGTGGGCTGTGCTGGTAGCTCTGAATGGCCCTGTGTCCCCTCCTACAAGGTTTTTCTCTTGCCCCATCTTATTTGGATTTGATGAAAGAAAGGGATGGCAACGAGAAGAGAAGGAAATGGGGGTGGTTGGAGTGGTCAGCCCTCACCAGGAAAATGGTGGTGGAAGGACAGACAGCTGATGGAACCCAGGAGAGGTGGAGAAGCATCGGCTGGGGTAACTGCCAGCACTTGTGGAGTCTTTGATGAATTAGAAAATGGTGCCCCTTTCTAAACGTACTGTTCTTCTATCTGTTGGAAAGCTGGTTTTGTTAGAATAATATTCCATACTGGCAGGCACTGCAAAATTGTATAGATATACAAATCTAAACTATCTATGATGGAAGTGGCTCTCTTTAAGGTTGTGTAGTGTATGACTGCGCATGGGAGCCCTGTGAAACAGGCTTCATTTGGAAGAAACTTAGCTCTGCCATTCTTTGGCTGCTTGTTGCCTCAGTTTCCCCATTTAGAAAACTCAGCATTGTTGGGAAGATTAGAGATAATGTGTGTAAACTGCCTGGTACATAGTGGGTCTTCGGTAAGTGGTAGCAGAGATTGACAACAGGAAAGACAGTGGGGAAGGTTGCTCCTCGATCTTCACCTTTCTCCTCCCCTCAAGCATTGGGAACCACAGCTTGGAGCACCAACTTACATTAGTGATTATGTCTCCATTGAGTTCGGTGATGGACTTGATGCCTTTGATAGTTGTCACCAGTTTATTCTCATCTTCCATCTTAACCACTGTCTGCAGGGGACAGAAGAAATGGCCTATGAGAAAGTGTGTGAGCAGGGAGCAAGATGCTTGCTAATAAGGTTGGTTCCCCTGTGTGGGTCTCTGCTTACAAGAACTAAAGCACTCATCTCTATACAAGGTCAAGCCCCCAGTTCTCTGGCTCTAAACAGAAGTGAGATGTATTTAAGAACTGAAGAAAACATCAGGGCTTCTTTTGTCAGAATTTTAATTTATGGCACGTGATCTAGAAATCAACATAATACAGCTAAGTGGCTCAAATGCAAACACTCAAGTAAACTTGAGTAAAATTTTAATTCTCCAAGCTAATGGAGGGAGGTGGTAGCAACATTTAAAATACTAGCCAGGTAGGAGAACACATATTTTGCTTTGGTATGCATTATTCCTTCCAGCATGTTTATCTTCCCATTGCGGTATCCTTTTTAAGCTTTATGTATCTGGGAAGAGGTAACAGAAACCTAGAAGAGGTAACAGAAACCCAGCAGGGAGCAGAAGACTCTGGCCAAGGTTAATAATTTGCCTCCAAAATGGACAATTGGGAAAGGCCTGTAGTAAAAACCATGATGGCCTGCCTCTTATAATGTGCACATCAAAAAAATTTCCCTCCTAAAATTTATCAGAGATTTCCTGACTTGAAATGTTATATTTGAAGAAACAGAAATAAAGAATGATCAGAAGAGGTGATAAAACCAATGTGCTGAGCCCAATGCACAAAATTGGCTGGAAGGAAGGAGTGAATATGGCCGTTCAGTGGTGTTGGCTCTGCTGGGGTATGTGGAGTTTCTAAGGGAAGAAGAGAGGCTCCTGGTGATGGGCACCCCAGTGCATGGATCTCCCTACCATCACCTGCTGACAACTCACACATTCCATAGTCAGCACTCATTGTACACTTGAACCACAGTCCAGCTGAAGTGATGTTGCCCTGCCTTCAGTTTGGGAAGGGTAACTATGCCCATTTTACAGATGAGGTAGCTGAGGCCAGGTGCTCAGTGACCACCCTGGAAGACTTGGTCTCAGTGTCTGCCTGAGGCCCTGGTATTCTGGTGTTACCAGCATCTCCTCCAGGAAGCCACTCCTCATGACCACCAGCTTTAGGCCCAGCAAAGGCCAGTTTACTTTGAACTCAAGGATGACCTCAGGGCTCTTTTAAAGGTTTTTCACTGACCTCCACTTGCCCACTCTTGGGCCTTGGAGAATCTGAGACTTAGACTCCTGCTCTGTAACCTCCATATTGGGAGAGCTCAAATTCTTGAGTCAGAGCATCCTAGACAGTCCTTGGAAAATGGGAGTGGTTTCACTAAGAGCTTCTTCCTTAAGAGCTGTCCCTGTCTCCCTACCTCTCACCCCAGAAATGAGTTCAGAGATAGGGTGTCCATGAAGGGAATTGTGCAGTGAAAGCCTTGAGGGAGGAAGTTCCAGGAAAGCAGAGTATAGAAGCAGAATGTGGCCTGAGGGACACCTCTTACCTTGATCTTCTCCCCATTCATGGCCTCCAGCTCACATTCCTCCCCCAAGGTAAACTCGTTTTGGATCACTTTGGACCCGGTGGTGATGGTCAGCTTGAAGTGCTTCCCATTCTGCACAATTTCTGTTACTCCTTTGATGTCCTTCCCTTTCTGGATGAGGTCATCAGGCAGGCCTGGTGGAAATCATTTGAGATTTAGAGATGGGCAGAGGTGGGAGTTGCAAGGTGGTGGTCACAAGAGAAACTTTGTGGTGTGGAGGGAGGAGGGAGGGGCTGTGTCTTTCTGGAGGCCACAGGCATGTAACTGGAGTCCTGTGAGCAACATGGGCTTTGATTTCTGAAAGGAAAGGTCGGTGGTCTGACTTGGCCTGCCCTCTATCTTGCCAGCTGGTTTATAAAAAAAAGACACTCCTCTGGCCTGAAGAACCTCTCTGCTAGTGAGTACCCTGGTTCTTGCTCATTCTCCTTCCTCACTCCTCCTCCTTTAACACCAAGAGACTTTGGTCTTTGAGTATAAGCATTTTATCCTTCATACCTGGGTTGACCAATACTGTTTATCTTCCAAGCCAGGTCACTCCTGAGAGTGAGAGAGGGGCTATTAATAAGCATGCCAGGACAATACGCACACACTGGCACTGTCCTGGCAAATATCTGTCCATCTAGCCTTACCTTGACCTCTGCTGTCAAGGCTCTAGAGGAAGATGTATCCGGAGTCCCCTGGGACAGAGTTTTACAAATTTTGGAGCGCATCTATGATGTTATACAAATTGAGGTTCACAAAATCTCAATGGTGTTGAGCATTGGGGTGGAGGGTCTTGTTGTATAAGTGAAGCATGTAAGACACAGAGAGGTGGCATGACTGCTCTATAGGAGAAGATCCAAGCTTTCTGCTGGCCCCAAAGGTCCTCCTCCCTCTGCTTTTGCCGTCTTTCCCATCCTTCTCCCTCTCAGCACCCTTCCTTGTCTCACTGCTCCTTTTCTCACAAAGCTCCCTCTATTTGGAGCACGATCCCCTTTCCCAGTCCCCAGTGGACACCTCCTCATCGTCCAAGGTTTAGTTAAGGCTCACCTTCACTGCCATCAAGCCTCCCCTCTATGTCCTCCTGTGAGTGCCACATCTTCCTGTACAATCCTCTGGGGGACATAGTGGGTTGAAGTGGGGTCTCTGGGAACCAGTGGCTGCTTAAAATCCTGATGCAAACACTTCCTATGTGAGTGACCTTGGTCAGGTTTACTTAACTTTTTAAAGCCTCAGTAGCTTTGACTTTAAAATGGGAAAAATAATAATACCCAAATTAGAGTTCTTTACTGAGGATTCAATGAGATATTTCACATCAACAGTGTATTGCAGTGCCTGGCTCTCAGTCAGCACTCAGTACAGTACACATCCTTTATTGGATTTATTTCTTTTCTTTTCTCTTTCTAAACTGTTACCTTGGAAATGTGGCCCATTGTTATCTGTTTCCCTAGTATCCATCCAGCACAGAGCTTAGAATGTGGTTGGCTTTGAATCAATGTTTGTTAGAAGAATGAATGAATGAATGAATGAATAAACGGGTTTGCACAGTGAGATACCAGCAGAGGTGGCTTCAACCCAAATTAGACTCTAGTTTAGTGGTTCTTTCACTTGCCTCTGGAGTGCCTTGTGCAGTGAATAATAGCACAAACTGCAAGTGACACAAAAGTAACATGCATAACTTGGCCCCTGGTCTACATAAAGCCTGAACCTCTCTCCCCATCTCAACATTGAGCCCACATTGATGACTAGCCACCACCTTCAGGGCCAGATTCTCATTGCCATGACCCCCAGGCTTGCCATCCAGCCCAGCACTTACCCATTGCCTTCATGAAGGCCTCAAAGTTTTCCTGGCTCTGCAATTGGTACTTGCCGGAGAAGTTCATGGTGGCAATAAATCAACAGTTGATTTGCAGCAATGCCAGTGGGGCAGTCCAGTTTGGGCTGATTTATAGGAGGCTGTTTCCCTTTGAATTTTGGCCATAGGTCAGCATTTGTCAACTTCTTTATGGCCGGGTTCAAAATTAACTCTTGAGAGCAAAGGTCAATGATAAAAACAGGATAAGCACAGAAGAGATTTACTCTAATTCAGCAAAAATTAATGGATGTCAATCAAGTGCAAAGCCCTGTGGTTCTGCAGCCTTTAAGGTGCTACTCTTAAGCTAGACAGAAAAAGCTGAAAATCACATGGTATCACTTATATGTGGGATATAAACCTAAAAACAACAAATGAACAGGACAAATAAACAGAGACTCATGGACACGGACAATAGACTAGTAGTTACCAGAGGGTAGGGGGAAGAGGGGAGGGCAGAGGTAGACGGGGTCAAAGGGGTCAAATATGTGGTGACAGGAAGAAATCTAACTATGGGAGGTGAACACACAGTGTAAATATATATACGACTTACTGTTAAAAAATGCATGTGTGTATATATGTATATGTATACATATCTAAACACATACACGTTTATGTATGCATATGTGTGTGTATCTAGATCTAGATCTAGACAAAGAGAAAAATACCAAAGAATCATGTTAAACTCAAAATCTCATCCTATTTATATAACCTTATCATTACACAAACTTAATTTTTACAAAATTGTCATCAGTCCCTAGAGTTATTTTGTATTCTGGAAATTCCTCCTTGATAATAGGTCCTTCTACAGTCAAGTTAGTCTCCTTTTTGAAGTGAAAAATGGTACATACTAAAAGGAAGGTGTAAATCATTTCAACCAGCTGTGTGAAAATTGAGATATAATTTATTAGGCAGAGAAAAAGGAGGGGAAAGAAAGAAGGTAGCACCTGCTGGGCTAACTGAACACGTAAGGGATGCTCACATCTTCGTGTTTGCTTCCACACTTCTCTCTCTGCCCTTCTTTCCCTTCTCTACCTGTTTTACTCTATGAATCCTCTGAGCTTGTAGAGCACTTAGAACATACCTATATTCTAATTCTTGCTGGGATTATTTCTCTATGTATTCTTTCCCACTGTACTTCTTCCTTGGTATTCCCAACACCTGGCACTTGGTAGGTGTCCAATTAATGATGGGTCAGCAAATAAAAGCTGTCAAATGATAATGAGGCCATGACTCTTCTCATTAAAAGAAAATAAGAAATATAAAGAGATATAGAGTAGTCAGTTTGGCATAACCCCTCAAATCACAGAATCACTGGGGCTGGGCAGGAAGGAGATTGGGGTGTGTGTATTTGTGCATGTGTGGACCTAACAGGGCTGTGTCTTGGTTAAGAGTCCCATGTGAGAGGAAGTGAATAAGGCTGGCAATGTGTGATCCCAGGCCCAATAACCAGCTATTCTCTTCTCATCCTTATCTATTCTTTCTCCTTTGCAATCCTGCTCTGCCATTCTAGCCTGTGCCTGAGTAGATGGCAGATTCTAGATAGAGCTCTGTTTCCTGGATAGTTTACCTCCCTTGCTGAGGGATCCTGTCTGTTCCTATGTGCAGCACAATCACCAAGATGACTATGTGCTCACACTTTCCTCTGTCAAACTGGCAGTCCTTTACTCTGCACCATGGAACTCTCTGGGCTGCTGGGGCATCTGCTCTAGAAGCCAGGCAGCCCTCAAGTTCTAGTTATGCATGACACAGGGGAAATGTGAGTGGATGAGGGTTAATGCCAGTGGACATTAACCCTCATCCACATGTCAGTACACAGTAAAAGTGTACTCTATTATCTCTACCTACCTCACACATACACTTCAAAACTTTCTTTAGATATGTTGATTGAGAACCTTAGAAGTCCTCTCATTCACTTATGTGTTCAACACCAGAGCCCTTCTCCAGCATCCCTAGCATTAACATATACCCTGCCATGAAAAGATCACTACCTTCTGAACAGTGTGGGCACTGGTTGAATGTGTTGCCAGGTGGATCCGGACACCAGTAAACCTGTTCTTTTGGTGCAGAGTGGTGCTGCCCTCCCTGCCCAGCCCTCCTCTGACAGTGCCCAGGACACAAAATGTCTTTTTGGTGACAGGTTGGGAATGGAGAATGTTGAGTTGGCTGTATGCTGAGACCTCACAGTCATTTATAGTCTCCACAAATGCTCTAGCACCCAACAGGAATGGGAAAATTCTCTCTAAGGATGACAGGCACATCTACAGTCTCCTCTCATTTTGTTCTGAACTTTGATTATAAACCTCTTAGCATGTCTCATTGTATTTAGGGATGTCATATTAGACCTTCTCTTCCAGGTGGGACAATGATTTTTTTTCATATATGTAAGGAAGTGAAAAAGTCATTATTTTAAGAACTGGCATCAGAATTCCTCTTGGAGAGGAAAGTGTGTGTGTGTGTGTGTGTGTGTGTGTGTGTGTGTGTGTGTGTGTGTGTGTAAATGACTAGCTGCTTGGGAGAGAAGATGAGTGAGACCCAAGATACATGTTTGGTGAGGGCTAAGTTGGTAAAAGAGAAGAGCTACTGCTGTGCAGGAGACTGGGAGAGGACCAGCTGTGTCTTCTTCTTCCCTCCTGGATGTCAGGGCAAAAGAAAGAAAGAAGTGAAGCAGAGAGAGAGAAGGGCCAATAAGTGGGTCTGGGGTGATGGGTCACTAAGACACCCCCAGTGACATTGAGGCAGGAAGGGTTTCTAGAAAGCCTAGTGTTGAATTTGAAGCTGCTCACTTCTGCAAAGTGAATCTCCGTTCATCTTTATTTAATCCCCTCCCCAACCACTTCAAATACTTCAGTAAACTGTGGACCCTGAGAAGAAATATTCACTTGAAGTAAACCCTGAGAAGGCATTTATCTGCTGTGATGGACTCCCCATGGTCAACTAAGGGCCTAAATTTTATAAGGGCCCAAATAAGAGCCTAGTGGCCATTTGCTGATAGGGGCTTCTCATGTATTCTGTACTGGGAAGAACCTCAGATTGAACTTGGCTTCCACACTATGCCCTGCTTCTTTACGCCATCAGTCAGAACTGCTCCATAACAACCAATCAAAACGCATAATGCCAAACAATCAGCACTGTGAGATTTGGAACAATAAGAGGTGTACAAATTTGGATATCTCATTTACATAAAACAGACTTAATTGAGAACCTGCGGAGGATGGGGCGGGGCGGGGGGGAGACTTTCTTTATAAAAGGCAACCTCCCCTTGATCTTGATGGAACACAATTTAGGTTGCTACCTGAATCTGTGTCTCCCAGCTGTAGCTTTTTTTTTTTTTCCTGAAATAAATGCTTTATATTTTTAATTACAGCTAAAATTAATTTTGGCTTACACTTGGCATATAAATACCACATCCAGACCCTCTGCCCTCGACCAGAGATGTCAGATGACATGCCCCACAGTGCTGCTTTCTGTGCTCTAAGGTGGAGAGTGGGAGAGAGGGTGATAAAAGTTTCTCCTTAGGGCAAGTCAGCACCCATGCCAGAGACCTCTAAGAAGCCTGGATCAAGTACTCTTTTCCTGGTGTCTGAGAAAAAGCAGGGCTTGTGAGCTGACTTCCTTAGGTCCCTTCTGCCTGCACTTTTTGCTTACCTTGTCCAGGCAGTGTCTGGACATGATTCATTCAGGGGCTAGTCAAGGGGCTGGCACAGCTGGTAAAGACCTGACAGCTCCCACAGCAAATGGACAACCTGACAGATGGAGAGGCAGGAAGACCAAGATGACAGACACAAGGCTAGGATGTCCTCTTTCCCCAAGATCCTAGATAAGGCAATTTTCAGGCAAACCCCAGTGGCCTCCTTTTGGTCATATTTCTTGTGTGTGTGAGTTTTGAGGCCAAGGAAGTTAGTGATCATTTCGAAATTTCACAGTTGCAAGTAGTTTTCCATAAAATTGACATCTCTGCCCACAAGGTAAGCAAAACACAAAAAAAGATAAACTTAATTGGAATGACAAAATTCAAGTGGCTTTCAAGAAAAAAGGAAGACTCCCTCTTCATGGGAAAAACTTCTGATTTTTATCAACCCACAGACTCCAGCTCCCCTCCTCTGATCCCCACTAAGTGTCCCCTTTCCTCATGTTCCCTACTCAGATGAGCTGCATGGAGACGTGGGTGGTGAGGTGACATGCCTCTTGGTGGCCATGATATAACTGACATTCATTTTAGATGAAGTATCTTTGCACTTGTATCTGATCTCAGGGTGTCTGCAGTGCCAGCTTGCCTACTTCCTGGGTGTCTCAGGAGGTGCTTTGCAAGCCCATACTCTAAAGGCAGGGCTGCAGATGGGAAGGACTTGGGTTTGGGCTCAGCTCTTTTCTCTAACTGACGTGTGATCCTGGACAATGACACAGCCTTTCTGAGTCTCCACTTCCTTATCCATTAAATGGTTATGACATTTTCTGCCTTGTAAAAGCACTATGTAAACTGTCAAGCCCTTCAGGAATGTAAAGCTCATGTTAGAAGGGATCAGAACACTTTGCATTTCCTTCTGCCATGTATCCAGATTTATCAGGTGTCACCAGCCTAGGATTAATTTTTATGTGTATCTCCTGGCTTGGGGACATACTTTTTCCCATTCCCCTGAGCCTTTGAGTAGTGTCTCCAGGCCCTGATTTGCTTTGGTGTAGCTGTCCTACCAGTTGTGTCAGTTCTCACTGTGTCTTTTACACACCTATGACCTCATTTCATGTTTCTGTGGGGTACAAAATCTTATGCTCCTGGCCATCGGGATTATTTCCAGATCTGACAACAACCCAAATGCCCCAGACTCAGCTCACTGCTTACTTCTTTGACTTTCAGTTTCCTCTGTGTTCTTGGCACCTGGGGACTTTTTCTTTCTTTCTTTCTTTCTTTCTTTCTTTCTTTCTTTCTTTCTTTCTTTCTTTCTTTCTTTCTTTCTTTCTTTCTTTCTTTCTTTC